CTGGTCTTTTGACCTCAAAACGTGACACAACGTTATGGTTTGTCAATCTGTAGTTCAACAAGTACCTAAAAAGATTATACAAAAGAAAAGCGTCATCTTAAAAATGCTGCACTTCAAACTGAAAGTTTGCAGGAATTTACAAAATAAAAGGCTAAATGGTTATCAGCTAAAAAACACACTGAGAAATGTAGCAAATTTGTCATGCAAGATCACTGAAGTTCAAAAGCATATTATCATTCTGTTTTCCTACACAAAGCATGTCCAAAAGGTGACTGAATTCGCTGTAGCAGGAAGCTCTGCCACATCTTCTCTTCTGTTAAATAGCTTGTCAGAGGCTGAAAAGTGAGTATTTTCAGGCATATTAGAAATTCTTTCAATTTTCAGAACTGCTATGACCTGCTATAGCTCTTAGAAGAGCTGTGTCTAAGGTGCAAGTCCTGCACGCTTCACCTCGGAGCAATTCAGTTCACCGTGCCTGTACCTGCACACCTTCTCCCACGCCTACAACTGGAGTCGCAACAGCCACCGTCGCTCTTTCTGCTGGCCTGAAGCGCAAGATTCCAACAGCATCAAGAAGCATCACTGCTTTTCAGCATTTCTTTGCACTCCCAGTGACACAAGCATCTGCCATCTTTCTGTTAAGAACTCCAGGGACATCTTCCAGAGATCCAACGAAGGAGGAAAAAAAATTAATGCTCCTTCACTGCTACGGCAGACAGTCCCTCCTGCCATCCACAAAACCTACACCAGGGTGAAAATTTGCAAACTGGACATGGCTGTTCATCTTAAATTACAAAACTACATTCAAGGATGCCCGTTCAGTTTCAAGGGCACCTCGGAGGAGAGGAACTTCAAATTCCAAAGGAAAAGAGCTATAAACATTGCTGGCACTGTCAGGGTACCAGTCTGGCTAATCCAGACTACTACAGCAGTACCTGACAAGCCCTCGTAAGGGGCTTCTCCAGGTGTCAGCAGATGAACTCAGGGAAACCAGTGACGTTATGCTGCAATTGCTCAGAGGAGGTATTCAACTTAAACTTTAAAGTGTACGTTAAATTGGTTCTACCTACTACAAGACGGGGAGAAACAAATTCACAGCCACTGGAAAGAGCAACACTTTTTACATCCTTCCTTCGCTTCGGAGATTGGCAGGCAGGCTGTCAATAGCTCATGTACTCAGAGCCAACACAGAGTAACGGCGTTCCCTCGGTATTGCAGAGATTAATGTTCTGTTCAGGTACAACCCAAACAGTGGTTTTGCCTTCATGAACCAAAGCAAGCTACAGCCCATCAGTTAAAACAGAGTTCAACCCAAAGTTGAACCTTTACAGATCGAAAAGGACACAGCCACCTGACTAGCACAAGGAACCTGCAGCCACTCCGATCTTCTGAACTTACAGCTAGAACGTAGGGAAGGAAAGGCACGGCCCCAACGCACAGCAACCAAAGAGACTCTGGATAAAGCACAGTTAGAAAGAACACAGGTGGATATATCATCTACCTGGTTAGGAAGGAGAGCAAGATCAAAAGAGCTCCGACTTTTAAATAGTAAAAGACCATTTACACATCAAACCCAAGCAAAGGAAAAGAGTAAATTCCTTCCTGCACTGAAGATGCACATCAGTGGCAAAGGGAGAGGACATCCCACTTGTACAGTTACACGAGAGTGTGTGAAAGACGACACGTGCAAGCAGGAGGGTAAATTTGGCATAGCCAAACAGGATGAAAACTAGAATATACAGATGACTAGCAATGCTAACCAACTGTAAATCCTCCAAATTCTGTTTCACTTAAAATTAAGCTTCTTTAATACAGCATAAACTAGAGAACTTGCCATTCAAGTTTCTCCAGTTAGCTGCAGATCCAAGTATTAAAGTTAAGAAAAATAACGACAGGACAGCACTGTTTTAGCACAGTCCACTATCTGTCTAGGAAATTTTAATTTGAAAAAGCAAGGTAAGCACAGTCTCCAGCTAAGAGAAAACAGAATACATACATTATTAAGACAGACACTGAAATGTTTGAACTATTTCATAAATTTGCATTAAAACCTCTAAATAGTCTAGGGCTCAAGTATAACAGAGGCCAAAATATAAGGATATAGAAATGCACAATCAGGATTCCTAAATATCAATGCTACCACATACCTGTAGCACAGAAATTACAAAATAACTTGATCTTTTAAGATGTTAGTTCAACTTAATCCAGAATTACAAACATTTAACTTATAACCTGAAAGCAAGCATTGGTTAATTTCACCATTCACATGCTAAAAATATTACACCCAGTCATTTAAAAATTATGATTTCCATTTTCTGGAAATTGCAATCAATCTCCAAAGCATAAGATCAAAACCGAGTCCATAAGGAAGAGAAATAAGTGTTTTCCCCCATGGTTATCTTTGCAAGAAGACACAATTTTTGTTAGTGACACTCGTACAAGCATGAAACATCTGGTGTCAGCTGCCTTTCGAAATGCATTGATATAAAATATAAAATCAAAATTTGAACCTGTAGCGGCAGAAGGTTCTGGAGTTCTGACAGTAACAGAGGAAGACTCAGCGTCTTCAACTTTTTCTTCCTGTAGACTGGCATCCGTACTGAGTGCTGTGCTATGTGATGTGTTTCCAGGAGATCCTTGTTCACTGAAACTTTGGTCAGATTCAACAGGAATTTCTAACTGGACTAGAACGGAGGAAAAAATTTTCGTTGAGTAAAAACACACACAAAAGCGCCTTCTAGAACACTGATGTGTGTGTCCGTAACACCAGAGCAGAGACAAATAGCCATCCATGCTCAGGCTGTCATGACTGTCATGAGGATGGAGCCAGGCTCTTCTCAGCGGCATCCAATGATAGGACAAGGGGAAATGGATATCAGCTGGAACGTAGGAGGTTCCACTTAAACATGAGGAAGAACTTCTTCCCAGTAAGGGTAACAGAACACTGGGACAGGCTGCCCAGAGAGGCTGCGGAGTCTCCTTCTCTGGAGATGTTTCAAACCTGTCTGGACGCGTTCTTGTGTGATCTGATCTAGGTGGTCCTGCTCAGGCAGGGGGATTGGACTAGATGATCCTTTGAGGTCCCCTTCCAATCCCTGACATTCTGTGATTCTGGGCTGCTCACCGCTGTATCAACACAAGATGAAGTTTTCACAACATACCTACTTGAAGCAATCCTCTGAATTTAGAGCTGCTTAGAAACACAGGCTGCTAAACCTTTACAGCCTAAAATGGGACTGGTCTCCTCACACCATTATCAGCACTCTCCCTGAAAGGGAAAGGCACTGAAGCACAGGGCAGAAAAAGGAGCACCATCTCCACCCAGTCAAAGAATAAAAGCATCTTATTTGGTGGGTTTAGTGTTCAACAAGAGGATTAAACTCTAAATTTAGCATTTGGGTTACTTCTTCAATCTAAAAGCATTAACACTTTGTAATTACCTCATTTTCAAAAGTATAAAAGCATCCCTTAAAAAAAAAGGAAAAAAACACAATCACAACATTTCCTTTAAGATATTTTACAGTCTATGGAGCTCTCCTTTCACAAGGCCAGTTATCCCTCATCTGGAAAAGCTCCCATCATGCAAGGGAAAGGCCAGGGTTACTGATGGAGAAGAAATCAAAAGCAAAAGGCGGCAATCACGGCAGCAGAGAGAGAGAAACTTCCTTGAGTTTTCTCCGCACTGCTGATGGAATCAGGTTTTAACTGCAGATACCGAGCCTGCAAGTTATGCAAGTGAAAATAGTGCTTGCAACAACCCGACGACTGCCATGCCACCACAAATCTGCTGCTTACCCCTCTCAGATTCCTTTTGGTTAGATCCTGCATCTTTCAAAGGCTGAATTTCCGTTGAAGCTGTGACATGGTCTGTATTTAAAATCTCATGGCTAATACTGGATGAGAGTCTTGAAGATCGTCTCCTGATCTGGTCTCTTTCAGGGTTATCTGAAGAGTTCTTCAATTTTCCCTGAGCTGGAACAGACAAATTTAGTAACCCTGTAACTGCATGGTACCATTTGCTCAAAAGCAAACTTTAAAGACCTCCCCTCCCAGTGACAGTCTGAAAGCATGTTCTTTAAGGATTGAGGTTAATAGCAAAAGCTGGACAGCCCTGGTGATTAGACTTCTCCATAAAAGCAACAATTATATTGACAGTTATAAATAAGCATAAAAATAAAGCAGAAACCTATCTTATAGGTGTCTCGACTTTTTCTTTTAGTGACAGATTTGAAGTAAGAATAGAGATCAGTATCTTACTGGTAAAACACTGCTTTGAACAGCAACTGTCCCACAGACATAATACCAGAAGTTAGATGAGACAACTCAGACACAAACAAGTCTGACCCTAAGCTGGATAACGTATACACACTGGAGCTTAAAGACACTGTGGTCCTAAGGAAGGGAAAGACGGTTGTCTTCAGATCTTCAGCTCCTTGTTCATGATACTGTTATACAGAATGTAATTTTCTTTTCTCATCAACACACTCAAGTTCTTCAACATCACTACACTAGAAGCTATTAGACTGCAGTGACATAATATTTATTTGGTATTAAAGTTTCTTTGCTAAGCAATGTGCTAGATCCTCCATCTAGTAACTAAAGAGTTTCTACAACTAGAAAAAGGCTTTATAACCTTCTATGTGTTGGAGGCAATATGCCCTATGTCTATGAACTTCTCCATGAAGACTTACAGCTTGTGGCTCCTTCATCCAAAAACAGTTTCCAAGATTTGGGAGGGAATTTGAGCATGATGCTGCTACATATGAAGGCCAATTTAGGATAAACAGGTGCTGCATTTCAGCCATTTCAGGTATCACAGTTCGAGGTTAATACTACAGACTTATTTTTCCCCCCCTCCACTTAAGCTTCAAGAACTTACATGTACAAATACTATGAAAGTTGAATACAAAAAATACTCACACAAGTTTTTTTCAATCCTGGGACGCTTTGATGGAACTTCACCTCCTTTAGGTATTTTCCGATGTCTTAACTCCAAAGTTATGGGCTGCAGTGTCTGAGAACTTGGCTCTACATATTTAGATAGAGAACAAAAATTGTCTGGATATGAAGCTGCAGAACTCTTTAACAAGCTTCCCAACTTCAAATACTGGACTTGCACAAATACAGTTTCACCCGGCGTTCCGAAGTCAATACACCAGCATCTACTCCTACTGCAGACATGCTTTATAATGTATGAAGATTACTTGTCTCAATCTAATCTCTGACCAAACCACTGCGGCTACAAACCTAACAAGCACGCCCTCAGCTGTCCTAACCAAGGCCGAGCAAAGATGAGTTTAAAACTCTTCCATAGTTTCTAGAGACTTAGGCTGTGAAAGAGCGAGATACTTTTCACTTCTTTAGGTACGTTTGGAAGGCTTCTGACATATGGTCTAAACATTTCAGTTTAGCTACATACCTGTCGGAGGTGTTATCGGGGGTCTTCCACGTTTTCGCTTAGTTTCTTTCGCGTTTTCCTGTGGACTCTTTACATTGTCATTCTCAGGCTTCTTCTCAATTTGTGTATCTACTGAATATTCCATATCATTCTCTGATATATTCTCTTTATCTTCTTTTCCATTCTTAGATATATTCTTTTCTGAGACCTTGCCTTTTTCCGAGATGACTATCAATTTTCCTTCTTTATCAGGTTGCTTAATTCTTTTATCAGTCTTTAATGTCTTTTCATCCTTGTCTTTCTTTGCATTACCTGTTGCTTTCCTCTGTTCTTTAAATTTTTCCCGCTTTTCAGGAGATGACGGAATTTCATTACCTCTTTCCTTAGGCTTAGCATTACCCACAATATTCTAGAATAAACAGAATGACAGATGCAAATTAACTTATTGTCATCTGAAAGTCCTCCTCCACCTTTGCATTTAGCAGTCTAGCATCCTTGTCCAATTTTTCAAAGGATAAAGCCATATACTCTATTACAACCCACAGATTAAAACTGAGAGGCACTTGAACTGTGCCAAGGACCCAGGCAGCTTTACAAGGACAGTGCAACAGTTCCTCTCTTTTCACAACTCAACAGCGTAAGAGATTTGCTGTTTCTTCGATCTCATCTGCAGGCTAAGGCCAAACCAGCTCGCACAATACTACCTAAAGCCTACTTGGAACACCGACGAAAGAGTGGGAGTCAAGAGCACAGAGAAGGCCAAACGGCCCAATCACTTGGATGTAAAAACTGTCTTCCTTTCACGAAAGCGTCTCCTTCAAGATAGACCAGTATTTAGGTTGTAATTATCACTGCTATTTACACATTTAAATTTAAAACCAAAACTTTATGCTTTGTCTTTCTGCAATTTGTGTTCAGCCTGTAAGGACATAAAAATCCTTCACAGCCCCTGGTCAGTAAGCTACTGATTCAACGGTAATCTCATTTCCCCACAGTTTCTGCACACCAGCAGCAAAGCAGGAAGAACACCCCTGTAACACCACTCACTGCTACTCCACATCCTTTCCATTCTGTGATCAGGTTTCATATTAATACCACCCATGGCGGAATGTTGATTTTGGGGTTTTTCCCCTTCCAATGATCCTGCTACAGGCTGTCCCAGAGTTTCTCTGCTCTGATGAACAGAAACCCTCTAACTTTGTGTCTGGATTAATAATTTATATTTAGTCATGTGTCAACACTGCCTTTAGTTCAACTAACTTCCCTCTTCCTGTTGCCTAATAACTTGAAGCACTGAAGAGCAACGATACTTCTTCCCAGCCATAGTTCTGCAAGGCACAACAAGCTTAAACTTTGAACAAGGATCAGAGGACAAGAAAGTCTAAATATCTCTTGATATCTCTTTGGGGAAAGAAAGCAGATCAGCTGATTTCAGTTGAACAAAGTTCTGAGAATACACATAAGAGTCACTGTCTCCTGTACTACCCTAGATATTGCCTATTCCCACCCTCCATCTTCCTGTCTATATGTGGCTTACATGAACTGATACCTTTTAAGACTGCCATTTTCAGACCACGGTCCTAAGAAATAATCTTGATGCAATAAAATGGTGAATGTTCAATCTGCTCCACCCTCTACGGCATTATTTCAATCATAGCTGGCACAGAGGTGACAAATCTCTTTTTAAAAATGTGAGATCAAATTGCTGTATATTCCATGAAAACAACTAAGCAAAGAGGAAGAAAGTCTTTCACCTTCTTAGGTGTCTGAGCACTTTTACCAGATATCAAAAAATCTGTCTTCTCTAAATTCTTTAAATGCCACAGCTATGGGAGAAGTTTCAGTGGAAACTCAAACCTTAGCAAAAAAAACAAAAAAAAAAACCACCCCACACCTCAAAAACCAACTCTCAGACATAAGGTTTCATCAGCTGTGCTGCTCATAGAACCATCCGATTTGAATCAAGTATGTGGTACCGGAACACACATGAACCACCTTAATCAAATTATTCAAGAAACTGAACCATAAATACTGTGTGTCTGAATTCCCTCTCGATGGTACTCAACTCTTAAAAGCTGTGTGTCCTTACACAAGTACACCCACACTGTGCAGGTCATTAGCATTTTACCACACATGAAATAACTTACATTCACAACAATCTTGAGCTCTTCAGTAGCTCAACTCTTTTTTAACTTTACTTCCAATTGTGTAAACAGAGCTCACTAGGAAATTCTCCCCTTATGCTTTTTTATGCTGAAGAACAGAACAAAGTGTTCTAGCACAACTTATCTCTTTGGTTAAGACAGAAATCTTTCCGATCAGCGGTTAAAGGGAGAAGAAAACTTAAACTCATTTCAAAAATACTCAAAGCTATGCGGAAATATGAAACTCCCTAAAGGAGAGACAAAAATATTTTGTCTTTCTTATGCAGAATATTTCTTAAGATTGTTCAACTTCCTGTATTTAAAGTTAAATATGGTAGAAATATTTCTCATGGCAATGAAAATCCCTCAGGTAGTTCCCGTGTGCGTATTAGTTAACCCTCAACCAGGTACAAATATTACCATTTGAAAGCTATTAAGAGCATTTTGTGGCAGATCCGAAATAGTTTTCCCTCCCAGCCTGGCACAAACCTGAAGACCTCCAACGCCTCTTCACAACAGTGACACATTTAAACTGTACCCGTTAAATACAGATTCCAATAATGAATATTAAGACTTGCGTTGGGGAGAAGGATTCAATTTTTTGCTCAAACCTAAAAGTGCCAGAAAACTAAAAGCAGAAGGCATGACTAAAACAACAGGCTACAGTTACCACACAGGAATGTATGGCAAAATCTCAAACATAACACCATTCCTGTAATGGAAATTATTCTGAAGCAGGTACTTAAGAAGTTTTAAGCAAATTACACAGGACGAGAACTTGTCAGCTTTTCCTACAAAGTGCCTGCACATGAAAACTGAAGTACAAAGCAGCACTTCCTTCCTCCTCACCACGAGCAGGACAATTTTTTTTTTTTTTTTTTTTTTAGAATGGCTCACTACTAGTTTCCATCAGAAGCTGAAGGTTGAACCCACAGCACTGAGCAGGTGAAGGGCTGGTAGAATAGCCAAAACATAGAAGCAGAATGTGGTTTAGCAAAACCAGCTTATCTTCTCCGAGTTATGAGGTGAAAGATTACTCCACAGCTTCCTTAAAAGTCTCAAGACAATCAAGTAGTTACTTTGGGAAAGAATAGTTTCTGACCACTCCATAGTTCCCATTCCTTAACTTTTAAGACGCATGTATTTAAACCAAATCTCAAACAGGCTGAACAACCAAAGTGTGTTCCAACAACCTACCACTAGCTTTAGTATGTACATTCTGAATCTTCCAATGATTTTCAGAAAACTGTTTGATTTATATGCCTATGACTTCTTTAGTTCAAGTGGTCCATTCATGAGAACATGAACCTGAGAGCTTTGCAAATCATACCATGAAGATTTACATAACCTTTTCATTTTAACAGACTTTATTTCAAATATGTTGTACATTAGCAATAGAGATGTTTCATTTGTTTCATATTTTATAATTCATCAAATCTAGCCACCTGAACTGTTAATTTTAGAATACACTAGTAGCACAAACAGTACTTACCTGATCTTTGGAGAAAGCTTTGACATGAATGTTTTTGACAGTCTGAACTACACCATCATAAAACTTAACAGTGTATGTACCTAAAATTTGAAAATAAAGCATAAGAGTTTAACGATCTGAAGTTATTTAACAGAACATCTGCTAACAGCTCCAATACTCTAGCTGCATATTTACCTCTAGATCAAAGCTGCCTTATCTGTGGTGTTACAAACTTCAACAGCAGAAGTCATATCACAGGCCAGTTAAGGGAGAAACAGTGAAGTTACCAAAAATAATTACAGCAAGCATAAAGGCACATGTCTAAGCTTAGAGGTTCTCCTTAGGTATATTTTTCTCACAACACCTCAAGATATTTCTGGTGGAATACTCCAACAGATAATTACACAGACAACTTCTCCTTGACCTTACAAGGTACAGTCAAGCTAAAGAAAGTACAGCCCAAGAACAAGTCTTCACAGTTACTTATTGATATTCAAAAAAAGAGAAGCATGGTTGTGCTTCCCCCCCACCTCGTCCTATTTGTAAAGGCTTTTTGCAGCTCTGATACTAGTTTTACTGCAGCTATATGCATCTCTTGACAATCAACTTAAGAAACCACCACTTTTCCCAAATATATATTTAAAGCAATTACTGACTGGATATCCCAGTAGAAAGTTCTTTTATCTCATGAAAAGGATAAGAGGTTAAAGTTCATGGTAGACTAAAACATATAATTGAGAAAAAAAACCCAAACAATCCACAACCAAAACTTTTCAAAGTTGTTTTTCTGTCTGCTATACTGTCTCTCCACCTAAGCAAAAAGGTTAGAATATAATTAGAAATGCATTACTAACAAGCATGACAAAACCAAGAGTGACTCCTTACCATCTTTGTTAACAGAAGTAACTTTGGCTGGATAGAAGCGACAGTCAGACCAGCATGCCAATACCTGATCATTTATATGAAATCCCTAAAAAACAGTAAAAAGTGTTTTCTTCTCAGAATTACTGAAACATACAACTTCATTAAAACATCAAAATTGTAAGTTTTCCAATATTTAAAATAAGTCATAGAACTTACACAGCAGGCAACACAGCAACAGTGAAGTATTTCAATGATCATAACTCGTACAACCGCACATTGAACTGTTACATACTGAAACGTCCTCTGTTTTCTACTTACCACACAACCTTCTTCCTCATGCAATCCTTCTTTTCTTAACTGGATCTTCTCTAAGGGACGCAAATAAGGACTGTCCCAACAGAACCATTCATCATATCTATGGTTCCAGCGTTTGAAATGGATAAGTACTTTTCCTTCTTCATAATCAATTTCTTCAATGTGAGCTGGATACCTGGTCAAAAGGTAGATTAAAATATTTCAATTGAGAATAAGGTACGCTGTCTCAGACACTTAACTACAGTACAAAACACCACGCAAACAGGGCCTTCTGCACAATCAAAAGCAAAGTATGTGAAGACCTGCTCGATCAGGTGTGATGGGGAGCCGAGTTACTACCCCTAACACCTTTCAGTTTCTACAGTCTTCATGTTATTTGATGTATCACTCGTATAAGCAATAAAGACACTACAAAATGACTATGAGCTCAGCACAGGACAACTCTCAAAACTCAACAGCAAAGGCAAGCATTGGCTGCAGGAAGAGGAGACAACTAAGGAGTTCTTAGTCCAGGGTGGAAAAAATATCACTAGAGATCAAGAAGTCAGAAAAAACTTCCCTACACCTAGAAATTTCACATATACACAGAAGTGATAGCTTCGGCTCCCTCTTATCAAGAGTCACACCTGGAGGTCAATACACTCACTTCTCTGAGATATCCATCAACAGGCATCATGAATCATCTTCCCAGTGTAACAGCAAAAGTCTAGCAGGCACCCTAAACTTAAACTAAGTTTTAGATTCTCAAAGTCATATTTCATCTGCAAAGTCCTGAGACTTAAAGTAAAAATCTCTCAGTATAATAGAAGTACAGGAATCTGAGAAGAATCAAATCCAGTTATTTCTAATCAGGAAAACTTTATAAACTACGCATTTCTTTAATTGCATTGGTAATTTGTAACTTCAGTAAGTATTTCAGAATCGTAGCATACTTCATTATCCCAACTGAAGACAACATCAAGTATTGATGTTTTCCCCTCCACAATATTAGTGCCAGGAGAAAATCTTCACCTGTCGGTATTTTCAGTTATTTGTGGAACAAAGGCAAAGCCCCACGGAATCCTTAAACAAAGGGCTAGAATTCATCAGTATTCTTTACCTGATAAATCACACTTAAAAAGACAGAACAAGGGCTGGAAAGAAATGGCATCTCAAAAGGATCAAGCCTGATGCTAAAAATAAAACCTACACGTCAGAATTAAGACTTTAATGCACCACAGAGCAGCATTTTACAATTCCAGGCACATGAAAAGCGAGCTACAACTGAAATCTTTCAGCAGATTCGAGATGCATCCAGTCACAACTTGTTCCAAAAGAGCCACAAACAGGCCACGCTGGAGCCCTGCACCACAACCCCAGACTATGCCCCGTGCCTCAAGCTACACCATTAGTTCATCCCAGTATATTGCCAAAGCACGTGCAGCAAAGGCTGCGGAGGAGAGGAAGACTAACGTGAGATACTTACGGCATGAGCATCTCTAACTGGTTACCAGTTCCCGAGGAAGGAATAACTTTCTTCACACGACAGTCAACGTATTTCATATTTAGGTAACTCCGAGCACTGCCCTGGAGTTTGCGAGGGGAAGTATCACATATAACAACATAGTTCTATTAAACGTGTTTTTTTCTTGGATATCTCAGCAACTGCCCATCACTAAGTACAGGTAACAACAAAAAACACTACCCAGTTCCCTGCAGAGTGCAGCAAGAACGGGGCTAGGCATCCCCAGGTGCCCTCAACAAGAGACTAGCCAGAAGGACGCTTTTGCCATCAGGACTGCAATAGGCCTAGGGCATGTCCAGATTCCCAGAGATCAAGAGGGAAGCTGATAAAAGTGAGAGTACTGGCTCAATAGTAAGCTAACAATCCAGTCCATGCAGACAACCACCTCTGGCAAACACTCTCGATCCACTAACCTCCCACTGAAGAGAGACAAGCCCAAGCAACAAGAGCCAAGTAAGCATGAAGCAAGACTGTTCCCTGCTTCATACTCAGTAAAAGGAGGAACCTTCTCCACCAGAAGAGCCATCATCCCAGAACCATGCACCAGTATCATCTGCACCTATCCCACCTCACCTTCTAAAGACTCCCTGATGGGGGAGAAATGCCGATTTATCACCAACAGCAAAAACACAACCTGAGACCGAGTTTCAGCTTGTTTGACAGCCACTGTGGGTGAACTGGAGCTCTCAGCCAGCTCCTAGATAACACACTGCCAAGTCTGAACAAATCTTTTTCTGAAGCAACCAACATCAGCAAACACATGTTCATCGTGCTTGGCTGGAACTGCAAACCTATTAGAAGCTGTGCTAGATCTATCCGCAAACCTTGACAGCCCCCTCCCTGATACCACCTTCCTTTCAGATGCAAAACACAGCACTGACAACTTCCAAAGGTTCCTCCAACGTTCGTTCCCTAGCCTTCCAAGCGTTGAGCAAGCATGCCACATCAGGAGGCACAAGTCCTCACAGATCTATACAGAAGTGGTACAGCGTATCCATACATAAGCACCAAAAAGCCTGTGCACATGCCAAGGGGTGGAGGCAACTTAAAAGAAATTCAGACTTGTTTATCAAGAAAACATACTGTGGGAGGACACGCATAGTGGAAGGCCGATAGCTGAAGCCTGGCTAAGGCCAGAAAAAAACATGTGCCCAGGGACAGTCCAACACACCCTTCCCCAAACTACAAAGGAAGCATTTAGCTGACTATCAGTCTTTGAGATCCTGGGTAAGAAATCCCAACTGGTACCCATTTGAATATTTATCTAACACACTGCAATAAACAAGCCGAAATCAGACACAGCTTGTTGCAACACTGGGAGGCCAAAACAAGCAGTTTTGCAGCTCAATTCAAAAGGAGTGATGAGCTTGTACCTTTCAAGGCCTCATACACTGGCTAAACAGCAAGGGAAAGCCTCCAAGACACCCAAACTACCAGCTTTAGTTTTGGTAAGAACCCAAGTGACAATCAAAACCTCCAACAGTGTAATTCTAACCAGACAGGGGTTGGCAATGACTGGCAACTTCAAACTACTGCTGTCAGAGCACAGCAAACGTTATGAAAATGGGTTTGTTGTAGAATCAAGTGTAAAATGATCCTCTACTGGTAAATATCTGGAAATTCAGGATCAGGGTCCAGACTGAAGGACTTCCTATCTCTCAGTTCTGGACTAGCTTGTCTCCCTTCTCCTTTCCTATATACCAAAACAGAATTACTGTAAACTTTCTCTCTGGGCTAGGGCACGACAAGCTTACTACTGTCAAAACAGCACTGAGAGAAAAGGAAGCATCCAGGAGAACCAGTGCTATGAAGGACAATAGCAACAGGGTTTCATCTTCTCAGCATTGAGACTAAGTCCTGACAGCATGAAAACAGACCTGGGACTGTCCAATCTCTACCTTAACAGGGCAGCACAATAACAATACTAATCTCATTCTCAATACTCAGGAGCCTCAGCCAGAATCAAAAGTCTCTTCATATCCATTTTACTTGCACAGACAGAAGAATTTGAAAGAGGTGTCATTACAACAAGGTAATACAAGAGGTGCCATCATTTGCCTACTGCAGGCATTCACCACAAATTCATTCTCTCTTCGATAAGAGAGGATGTCTGCAGCCAGCCAGCACTGTAGAGTTCAAATGAGCCAACGCAAAACGTTTTGAGAACTCAATTCAGCCAGGAGAGCATGTGCATGTACATCATTACAGCTGGCCTCTTCAGGATTTCTCCATTTAGGACTATACTACTGGAGCAGTCCCATTACTCCATCCTCTGAACTCCAGCACTGTGTACCAAGAGACCTTTCAGTGCGCATGAGGCACTGCCTGATGGCCACAGCTCTCCCCCTTTGCTGCCCTGAGGCCAACAGCCACTGTCACAAGCCTTTCATGACAGCTTGGATGCATCAACTGAGCCCTAAGAACTAAGCCAAGTACCAAAAGTACTCACTGTACTCCCTGGAGTTCGAGTCTAGGAGGTGACAGACAACTGCACCAGGAACTGAAGTGCACATCCAATACATTATGATTCCAGATACAACAAAACATCCTTCAGTTAGAGCTCTGAAGATCCAACATTCCCTTTGCACTTTGGCAAGGAGCAGATTCTGCACTGGCCGCTCCACTGGCATACACAAATTCTTTTCCTCTTCAATAGGGTTGGCATCACCATCCTAAACATCCTGAAAGTCCTGAACAAGCATTTCAGGGCACAAGCCACTGCCATGAAAGGCAGGTCAATGGGGCTCTGAGACGAAATACCCTCCAAAGCACTACTGCCATTTGAGAAGCAATACTGGCCCACAAATTGACTGGTGTGTTTGGGTTTGGTACTGAACACAAATCAAAGCCAGCCCTCTGATCAAACAAGGACTTCTGCTGATGTTTAAGTGCCAACACAGCAACAAAAAAGCACACACAAGAAAAGCTTGGACCTCTGAAGGTCTAGCACTAGGAAAAGCAAGTATCAGCAAATGGAAAGTTTTGTAACCACAAATCCACACCTGAGGAGGTGCGTTAGCCTGTCACCACTGATACTGCTAAGAGAAAATAAGTTCCCAGCTTATCTGTGAACCAAATTTTGATTGACAAATCATGAAAAGAGAAACACATGCAGATCGCCAGTCAAGGGAAACATGGACCTTCTGACCCAAGTTTCAAGAGCTCAGCAAGCAAGAACTTTCAGAACTGGAGAGTTAATAACTCAGTTGTGAGATCAGAGAGTTGAAAAACACTGAGCATAAGACAGGTCAGTTGAGATCACACATTTCTAAAAACCAAATAACATGGCTCGGTTTTGGATATGCAGCATATGCAAAATTTCAACTTAAGCCAAGAGATTTGTGGAAAGTACAGTAGGTGTTGAATTTGCCCCCAAAATTTTCTCATGTAAGAGCTGTGTACTCCCATACTTTTGAGACTCTGTTGCTGTCCAAACATGTCAGAAGGTCACAGCCATGGACACAAGTTATTAGTATAGACCATGAGTAAGGCTAAACTGCATCCTTAATAAGCCCACATTACAGACGAGCTAAGAAATCTCACTTTTGTAGGCACAACTATTTTCTTGCTGTATAAACAAAGCTCGAGAGCACAAAAGATGCATGCAGATTCAGATCAAAGCCCTACCTACACAACTCTTGGTTACACAGGAAAGCCAACATAACATGTAAGTACGATTTAGTGTTCATACTTCACGTTCTTTCCATAAAGAGCTATGTTTACTCATTTTCACAATTCCAAACCCCTTGTATCTGGAAAGCAGACAAATACTCTGCATGCAATCAAGAAGTTCTGGAACTAGTCCCGTGTCTTAAGGCAGCGTTTCATCCTTCTGGGATGTCCAGATGGTTTTCAACACTGACTTCTGCACGCTTAACCTGCCAGCAGGTTCCAGAGCCTAAAGTACAATCATGTGTAATCCATGTAGACTCTTAAATAAAAGTCAACTATAGCTGACTTCAGGAAAGAGAAGATATCTTAAGGATCTAACAATACCCAGTTCATTTCTATATTTAAGAAGTCTGTCTCCAGCACTTTTCATCGTATGCCTCTTTCACTGATCATTATTAAATGCTAATTTTGGAGCTGACTTCCTAAACTGAGCAGAGTTAGAAGGCTCAAAGTTAGCCTAAGTAACTAGGCTACTTCTTCTAGGCCCTTCTTCCCCTTCCTGCTACAGTGGTTAGTCAAGAGAAGTGTTCCTCCTCACAACCGAAGTCCGCGAGAGGCTCCACAGCAGATTTCATGGTGCGTTTCCTCACCCAGTTCTTTAATTCTAGAGCTGACCACCCTCACATGAGCACAGGCCGTAACAATTTCCATCAGACTTTAAAGCCTATGAATTCACATTAGCAACAGGAAAGGAAGCAGTGAGGAATTACCTTGGGTGTTCTGTACTGCAAAGGATTTATCTCCTCCTGACGTCTGCTCTGCAAGCTGTGTATAGCACGGAATTTAAAATGGGAATTCAGGAATACCAGAGTCTGAAGTCTCACTGGAATTACACGCAGTCCTATTTCCCAGACACAGACAGCACCAGTACACTTAAGGGTAGCACAACGCATCAGCATCTGTCGCCCATTTCAACCACTGGTATATAAACTTTTATAGATTAACTACTTTCCTACAAACCAATGACTAGGACTCTAAATATTGTACCAATACAAAATGTTTAAGATATTAAAGACTTAGAGTTAATATAATATGAATGGTTTTAAAAAAATACCAGTTTTTTAATCTGTCACGGGCTTCCAACTGGGCTCCCACCTCAAAGTTGATCCCTCTTCTATTCGGAGGATGTTTTGTCATTTTGTAATATCAACACTGCTGATTTTATTCCCCTGAAAAATGCAATTAAATATCAATCACTAATCAAGACATACACAAAATAAGCTTATGCACCATAATCCCCAAAAGCTAGGTTTTAAGGGACCTCTGTATTTTTTGTTTGCAGGAACTAATGGGGGCAATTATCTCTTAAACAAGGGTTCTCAAGTGACAGTGTGCAGAATCATTCCAAAAACGTGTTCAAAACGGTAGCTACTGGACCATGAAAGATTGAAGCTGAACCTTTGCCAACCGGTCCAAGTTCCAGGTTAATTAAGAACTCTGCAACCCAATGTTTATTCCCAACTGAGATAGAAGTTTTATGACATCCTCTCCCCCCTCCCAGTTTTCATGAAAACAACAAATCCAGTGAAGGGGAAGTGGGCAAACACACACAACGATCTTCCAACAGCTAGGAAGTTAGTGAAACACTCAACAACACTACGTCACCTTGTCACTACAAACGCAGTAGAGTTCAAAGACGTTAGAAATATGTAGTTTCTTTAACCAATTTTAGAAGGCTGTCTATACCGCTGGCATATTTGTATTGCTTTCTTCCCACTTCACCATTTTAACCAGAAAATAAAAATAGTCTTCCCAACAAATGTAAAGTTTAAGAAATCTTGCCAAAGTAGTTTCTCTCAAGGTACATCTAGCAGAAAGTCTGATCAGGAGCTGTTTTTTCCCCAAGTTTTTTGTCAGTCATTTCCCACAATTATAAGATACAAATTAGGATCCATTCCCGCAGTCTTCAAGCTCACAAGACTCAAAATATGGTTAAGTTTTATTCAATACTGTACTCCTTACAGGAAGGCTATATCTTGAATATTCGATTAAAGATGTATAAAATAGATGCAAGTTAAATTAAAAAAAAACACCTTCTAGTCTGACACTACAAGAATAAGGAGACACGCACTGTTAAGAGAAATAAGCAGCAGCATTTTGGTTCACGCAAATCAAACAGCACCAATATCAACTGAGCTGCATCTATAAAATGATTATCATTATTTTATGAAGAACTACTGAGTTCAAGTGTAGTTCAGAAATCACAGATCTTTAGGAAAGTCATAAAGCTTCTATCGCAGGGAAAAGCTACTCCATTGACACACTGTTTAAACGAGGCCATTTGCCAAGGGCTGCCCCTGGAGGCAGTCCCACCACCTCGAGCATCGTAACCACACTGCAAAGAAGCTTCTCTACCAGAAGATGATCTACTGTCTTCCTCTAGAGCACTGCTTTTAGACTTATCTTCACTCCTGCTAAAGCAGCATGCAACAGTATAGGGGGGGGAAATGCTACTGCCTTCAGTTCAGTTCACGACACAGTGATTCTCACCGAAGGAAAAAATATTCCAGACACTGAGGAACTGAGAAACATTGCAAGTTACTTTTCTAGAGTATCTGATAACAAACTGAGTTCACCCAGCATGGACCTGAATCAGTCCAGGAACATGGGTAGAGATTGGGGCCGGGGGGAATTGACCTGCTGACCTGCCACCTCCATAACCTAACTGGGAAGGGAGAGGAGGAAGGGAATTAAGGAAAAGTTAGGATGGTTGGGGGTTTATGTTCTGATGAAAAACAAACAGTAAAAATTAAAAAAATAACAACCACCTGGAAATCCAAGAAGCAAGTGCAAAGCTATATATTTTTTTAAACGGTTTATCCACCCACACCTCAAACATCCACTACTTTCTCTGCAGACTTACATCATTAAAATACCACTTTCTCGCAACAGAATTCCATGCCTCCAAATATGGAACAGACACACGTTTTGCTTAACACTTGTAGGAGAAATTACAGCTGCAAGATGACTTGTCCCAGTGTTTCACTACGTAGGGACATGCGAAATCCACGTACTCCTAAAAGTGCTGGAAGTACGTTATCGAAGCATTCTGCTGCGGTCCCCTTCGGGAATAGCTGCAGCCCTGAAGAACAGGAGCCGTTTCAGCTCACCTATATGAGGCTGGAAGAGGAATATACACGTCCTGACTTCAGTAACAGGATTTCATACAACAGGGCTTCTGTAACAAACATCAGTGTTGGTGAGGGAGGCCTTACTATGCTTTCAGTCAAATATTGAAAAAACTACAAGTATCACAACTAAAGAGAACTCTGAAAAAACAGCAGAAGCCATTTGACCACGTTTCCAGAGGCTGCAGATTCTGTAGAAAATCTGAACGCTGTCCACTTGCCAGCTGGAGCCAGCTGGACACCAGCATCTGTCAGAGCACACACGTCCCACACCTAACTCCGCCGAGCTTGTTAAAAAGCAGCTGAGCAGAAAGTCGGGAGAGAGAAGAAACCGTACAGGCAAAAATCTTGTATCATCACCCCCTTCCCCAAAGTCTTCCCCCCTCTCCCAAGTTATAAAACTTGGGCTGCTTTCGGTTTTCTCTCACATCCCACAAGTGGATTTAACTCAGCCCAGCAGTTCCTATACTTGGCATGCCTTGCAAAGCAGGCTTTTCCATGTGCAGCTAAGTGCAGCAGCAGCTTCCTCAAGCAGATAAATACTTGGTAGAACGTTACACAAGATAAATTACTCATTAGAGGATCTCAACAATTTCACCCTGAAACATATAACCTTAGAGCAAGACTGAAAGCGTACGATACAGCCTTCACTGGGAGCCATCCCATAGACGGCTCTTCACAAACGGGCAGCCCTGCAGCCTGTCCACATTTCACAGCATGACCTTGACCACACACTGATCTTTGTTTCTCAGAAGGCAAGCACTGAACACAGGCGCTTGCCTCTGCTGCGAGATGTTATGTTTCAGCCTCTGCTTCTCCTGCAAGGACTCCTTAAAAACCCTGAACTACATCAAAACAGGTTGTTAATAAACAACCCCAGACTGATCAGACACAGTCATAGCTACAACTTGGAAATAACACTTCACCAGAACATATTTTCTAAAGTGTTCTTCAGCAGAAAATGAATTTGTACTAACTTGGTAAGTAAACTGAGACACAACCAGGCTTTCTACTTCCATAACTGGAAACCATTTTTCTCAAGTGCCCAATTCCACAATTAAAATAAGGCATAGTTACTAGGCCTCCCCCAAAGCTGTATGGCTTTTCTCCAAAGCTTCCTATTCCACCATGAGGATTAGAACTGTTTCAGGAACAAATATTCCAGGATCTAGACCAGTCACTACTTCCAATAAAAAATATTTCTAAATCTACACCACTAAATGCACACACTTCTGTTGTCTAAAAAGGAGAGTCTTTTCTTCCCCGTAGAAGTCACCATGAGGTAATTCAGCTTTTAAAGACTTTGTTATTCACGTACTTGAAGGTACCAATCAGGAACCCACATTTATAACAGGGCAAAGCAGAGGAGAACAAGCTTACGCTAATATTGATGCCTGCAGGGATCACGATTTTTGTCTTTCAAAACAAGCTCTCTGCTCTGCTGACAGCATGGGTCCCACATACCCACACCTGGAGTCGTTCTTATCTCCCCCACTTTAAGCTCCATCAGTGCTGAGCCCCAAACCTGGCACATCACTAAGCTCCAGAAGAAGAGGGCTCCTCTGGAAACTGGAGAAACCTTCCATATGATCACACAGAGCAAAACCAAGCAGTTATATCACACTTTCACTAAGAACAGCCTCTACTGTCTTCTCTCTGGAATCTGCAGAATCACTGCAGCCTTTTTCAAAACCTTACCTACCTTTGCAAATCCTGTTTTCCAAATCCCTGGTAAGTATGATTAAACCATCCCTACGTACTATCACACCAAAACCCCTGCCTTTAAACCAGTCCCACTTCCAACCTTAGCACTGTATCAATTCAGTACTTCATCAGTAGCTCAAAAGGCAATTCACATCTACAATCCAGCCGTTATCTCTGTTCCCTGATATACCTGTGCCAAACCCAGGGATTCAACCCCCACCCCACCCCTCACATCAGAGCACAACAGAGAAAGAGAGGAACTCCATGAAAAAACAGCGCTCTGGCTTGATAAAGAAGCACAGTAAGCTTTGACAGTTTGCATAAATATAAATTTTCAGTGCAAAGTAGTATTAATTTTATTCTGGATGGTAAGCTTGCTGTCCAATTCCCACGAGGCATTCTACATCACTGCACGGTAGGTAGAACACACAGTGGGTTAACAGAAAGCACTAGCAACACCAGGGAGGAAAAGCAACTAGCAAGAGATTGTCCTGTGCTCACCGGAGATGCAGCAGAGGTGTAACTGAACTGGAGCACTCAAGGCAGCCCCAAGATTTGACGTGCAGTTCCTACACACACGTGTTTTCCTTCACACATAGCATACAAGCAGTTTCTGTGCCAAAACAGGTTTACAGTCAACTCCACAAAGCCTAAGCTGACTCTGCCATTCGCTCCAGCACCAGTGTTCCACAACTGCCAGCGTGTCTATGTGCCCATTTTGAAACTGCCGAGAGTAAGCCCAGTCACATTTTCTACGTAAGGTTTTCATTGCAATAGTTTTGACCTTTTACTTATACCACCTGCATACAGGATACCAAGCCTTGTTCATCGGTGATAAAACGATGAAAGCCTCACCCAGTTCACCCCCTACAACATGCATGCCCCCATCAGGAATGGTCAATCCAGAGAAGTCCATGGTCCTCACCACAATCAGAAGACCTTGCAAGTGGATGACCACAGCCATGCTGTGCTGAAACCACACACCTGCAGATGAGAAAAGGCAACGGCTATGTCAGACTGCAAAACAGTACTTACAGACACCACTTATATTAGACAATCCTAAGGGCATCTTATGAAGACTAAGCACAAGTCTCTCAAACATTTAAACACCACTTTTAAAAATTGTTTTGGCGCTGGCTTGGGAAGCTTATTACAGCCAACTTATATTGCCTGCAGACAAGGAAACTCGGCCTACCAGGTTTTGCCTAGAGCAGCACAGTCACCATGAAGTATACTTCACTGCATTTTACTCTACATATAAAAGCAGAAATAAAACCCCACACTTTTTAAAAGTATTAACCAAGAAACAGTTTCTGTACTAGTTATTCACCTCAGGA